GGCAAGGTTGAGCTGGCTGTGTTGACGCCCACCAGCACGCGTGACTTGAATTATTTGCAACTTGGCACCCATGGCTTGAGGGTCCTAAGTCAGGACCCTTTTTCTGCAGGCTTGCTTGCAAGGACGCCTGGTAGCTCTGCCTAAGTGAGGACCCTAAACCCTGAACCCGCAACTTTAATTTTCAGAGACAAAACCTCAAATTTCACAGGTACTAGGCCAAGTATGAAGCCGCAAGCTTGTGGGGTTGTGCTGACTTCAGATTTCTGGGCTTGCGAGGCCCCGTGCAAGGGAAATGCTGTGAGATTCATGACATGACCTCGCGCGTTTAAATAGACGATTGGCATTCGCATGACGAGCTGGGGCACACGTGTATGTTCCACAATCAGTTAGACAGAGTGCCAGATATGCAAGGCGACTCGGACTAGTCTCTTGGCAGTTTCGGCCTTTTTCTGCAGCTCTCCATGAGCCCGATCCCAGGACTCAGGGATCCAGGGCGAATGGCATCCCAGCTCCTCCCACACAGGAGACTTTCACACGGCTCCACGGCGGCTGATTGCAAAATAACTACTGGGTTGCTGTCAGCAACAGAAGTTTTGTGTTGAGTTTTTCAGTATGGCTTGGCAGGACACAAACCCCGTGTTGCAGGCCAGAAGCAGAAGTTGGTACTTGTCATTATGCCAACGATTCCTGTTTTTGCTGTTATTTCTGTTATCATTATTATGGTAACTGTTATGACTATTCTGATTATTGCTAATTCTACTGCTACTACTACTACTACTACTACTACTATGCTACTGCATCCCATTGTGGACGAAAGGCCAAGCCACAAAAAGCATGTACGAAGTGCACTGGCTAGTGAACGCTGATGCGCTGCGACCACAAGTGCTCGCACCGCTGCGAAACCTCTGACAGAGCATGGAGTGCTCGATGGTGGAGCCTGGCTGAACAACGAACTGACTTCAGGGACAGCCGAGACTAATGCAGGGCCGCTCGGGTGATTGCATTGTCTCGCATGTCCTGTGCTCGATTGGCAGTCTGAGATGCCCAAGTAGTTGAGGCGGGCCAGTACTGGAGGCGTGCAAATAGCTTTGGTCTTGCTGTCTTGATCGTGAGGCCTGCAGCCTGTAGCGCTCTTGATGCATGTTGCAGACAACTTGTGGATAAGAATGAATTCATACTTGTACTTTGCATGGGAACTGTGCATAGGAATGGGGGACAAACGGACTTAAATGTTTGAACTTGAATTTGTACATGCAAGTGTGAACTCGCAATGGTTGTAGATGCCGTGGGTAGAGAGACGGAGCGTGGTGCTTGTGTCAACAGCGATGCACCCCCAAGTAGTAGTATATGTTCCAGATCGATGGGGTTAACTAGTCCTGCATGGCCTTACCTTCTGTGTTCGCTGTCTTTCTCGGTTGACCCCGTCGTGACTTGCAATCTCCCAGTCCCCGCGAAGCTGCCACAGGTGTGCCAGGTGGGTGACAAAAAAACTACTACTACTACTACTACTACTACTACTACTACTACTACTACTGCTACTACTACTACTACTGCTACTACTGCTACTACCCCTGCTGCTGCTGCTGCTGCTGCTGCTGCTGCTGCTGCTGTTGCTGTTGCTGCTGTTGTCATTCTTCCTACTAGTACCACTGTTGTGGGAGTCCTTTGCTGCCATTTCGTGTGCCAAGGCTATTGTCCTTGACTGACACCTGGGCCAGCCTGACGGCGAAGCTCGGCAATTGATATTTTGGGATAGTTGGGGCTTCGGGTTTTGGGCTTACGGTTTAGGACGCAACCCTAAACCCTAAACCACGCCTGCAGGGTGGATGGTTGGTTGTAACTGGGTCTGCTTGTCAGTTGCTTTCGGTCAGACTTTGCCTTTCCGGGTTCGAACGTTGCTCTGCCGTCTGTGCCATGCAAGTGGCAAAACCCAGAACCATCCTAAACCCAAAACCATCCTGGCAGGATGCAGGCTTGACCTGCAGCCAGAAGCCAAGGATTCTCGATGAGTCATTGGCCATGGAGCAGCTCCCAGTTTCTTTGCAAAGAACCCCCCCGCTTGTCTCCCTGGACCAGTTCATTTCGCAAGTAGGGTAGGGAAGACATCAGCGTTCGTGGACCGGAATCCGAGCCATTTGACGTCAACTGGTCCGCAGCTTCTATTATGTGTAGTCAGCATACGTGTGCAGGCTGCCAGTTGACATGGCAGGGGTGCTGATGCTGTTCACTCAGCATGGGATGTTTGATCAGCTGAGACTCGTGACGTGGGCCGGGTGGAGAAGCTGAGCACAGACTTTTGCAAAGCGCTCCAGTCTCTCCTGCACCTGGCCTGGATGGTGATTTGAAGCGGCAGAGATCCTATTGGTTTGTTTGTAAGGGCCACGCCCCGGCCAGGCAACATTCGACCACGTTCAAAGAGTAGTTCATGACAGGCTTGCGGTTTCCGTTTCGGATCCCGGGCGTTCATCGTTCGACCGGAGACACCCCAAGCGACTTGGGACACGAAGTGTTTCAAGAAGCGTTCTCGCAAAGCCTCATAAAATCCTATCGATAGCTGGCCCTGTTCTGGACGCAGTCCAAGCGCACACCTCCGTGGACGTCGTCGCAGTAACTGCAACCCTGCCAAGGATGGACACTCTCCAAGACGCGAGAGGCTCTGTAACACAGCGTCCAATAGGCGGGCTTCGGGATCTGAGATTGAGACACCTCCGATCACCACTGTTTGGATATGTTCAGGCATCGGGGGGGGTTAGGAAAAAGCGTCGCTACGTGGCTACCCACTCAGACCCAACCCAAATATCTGACACCCTCCAGCCAGACAAGCAAGTGCATATGCGCTTTCCTGTGTAACTCTTGTGTGTTTTCAGGGTTGCAGGTAAAGATTAACATTCCAAACTCTGAGCCTCACAAACAAAACACTGAAGCTCCATAGGCCTGAGACCCTAAACCCGACAGCCGTAACCCCTCGTTCTACGCCGTGCATACCATACTTGCCGTCCTATCGCCACATGCCTTGTATACGCAACGCGACCCTCCTTCCCCTTTGCAGGTCTCCTAGCGGTGGTGGGCGAACAGATCGCCAACATCCATCGGCTCCCTGGCATCAGGGCACAACCCGGGATGTCCATGTAGGGACGAAGCTGAGGCTGGCAGGCGAGGCTTACGAAATTGCATTCGGCCATCATGTGGACGAGGCTGGGTACAGGGTGCTCGGCGTCGACTCAGGTCGGACATTCCACTACCTTCCTGAGGTTGCAGTTGTGATGCTTGCTGATGAGCTGCCAGGTAATGGAGATGATGAATGAAACGACGAATATATTCCGCAACACACACAGGGAGCCTCAGCTGATCCAGAATACCCAGCACCCATAGCAGCCAGTGACTCAAACTCCACTCGCCTGAACAGAGGACCTTGTGCTTGGAGCTGCTAACACATCCACCCACCCTGCCTTGCGCAGAGTGTCAAGCGTGTGCTTGATACGCGGGCCGCTTGGCTTTTGAAGGTGAAGGATACAGTCAAGGGCTGTACTACAAGGTCCAGAGACGGATTTGGATCGGATTGCTTGACAGAGCCATGTTACGGATGGGATGGGTTTCTGCCGCTAGAGGCCTCACAGTCACATTTTGCTTGTGTGATAAACAGGTTAGGTTGGATCCTTAAGTTGCCTCTCATGCTGTCACGTCCTTAGTGGGCCCCTTCGCGTGCGACAATTAGTGCAGCCATGTAACAACCGACCCCAAACCTCAAGCAGCCCTGGCCAGGGCAGGGTAAGCAGCATCATCCATCCAGCCATATCCAGCCTTGTGGTACTTGAAGTACAGGAAAGGGTTTGGCAGCTCTGCCTAGGATGCGCTCCGTCGAGGATGCGTACATGCGACTGGAGGTCGCTTCGGTGGCTGTGGCTGGCGGTTCCCGCAGTGACCAGACTGAAAGTGGTTTGAGATGCTGGACTCTTAGTAGTGCAGCATTGGTGCAATGCGTTGCTTGCTGATGTTCTGGCGGATTTGACAGACTTAGGTGAGGTTGACAGCTTGCGGCCGCTCACAGCGGAGCTGGGGTTTCGGGAAAATCTTGGGACAAAGCTTCATGCTCTGCCCAAGGCAACAGTAGCATTCTGTTTGAGTTTCTTGCATCATGTGCTCACAGTCCGGTTTTGCATCACCCCAAGCAACTTTTTTGCGCATGAGTCGCCGCGCTCGTCCGTATGCTGCAGCGTATGGAATAACGCTTTGAGCCGTGAGCTTGCACGCAGAAGTGCTCAAACTCAAGTAGCTGCTTGCGGTGGGAACTGCAGCCACGCATTAACGCTGCAAGCATGCCCACAAGCTTTTACTAGCAGATTTGCTGCCTCGGGTACAGGAGGCTCTGGCGTTGATGAGCGCTGCGGCCGATTCGCTTATAGAGCGCCTGGAATTCAATGTTTAGGAGCCGCACAGACCAATGGCACTTGCCTTCAAGAACATGGTCCGAGTTTAAATGCTGTGCTGTTCTGCAAGCGCTGTAAGCTTGAGCCAGCTCCGACAGTTGCGACCGAGGTACTACCAAGGGACGAACAGCACGTGCCCGCAACGTGGCATCGGGTCAGCCCCAATGAACAAAACTACCACCCTCAGAATACATATTCCCCCTCAGATGTCGTGGTACCATCTTGTAGTCTTTGTTGTAGTGCAAGTATCCATGTGTTTTTACGCGCTGAGTAGGAGCCGTGTGGGCATGGCACTTAAGATATGCAGCTCGGTGGTCTGTTTTGGCGGCATGGTAGCTATTGGGCTGATGTGCTTCGTGCGACGTGGTCCTTCTTGACCTTGTTGACCTTGGTGTGAGGAGGGTTTGCCAGCAGGATATATCATAGTTCATAACCGAGGTATTTGGGTTATTCCCAAAACTATGGGCTCTGTTTGGGATTGAACTGCCTGATGTTCAGGGGTACCAAAATGGGACCCCAATCTTGGGAACCCCCCATATACAGTCAAGTACCCGGAGCGGCGTGAAACACGGAATGCAAGCCACCGAGAGCGACTTGGCCCTGTCATGGTTGGTGAGGCAGACAAACTTGACGGCAGAGGACTTCGAAGCCCTCATGCTCGAGGCATCCAATATCTGTGTTGCCCGGTAAGCCCAGCAATAATCTATAGGTTTGAGTTGGGGTGGCGTTTGGTTCAAAGGTCTGTCATCGGGCGTCTACTTGAAGAAGCAAGCTTGAGACAAAGGCACATGTGAAGCAACCACGCCTGCAGCAAAGAAGCAGCGCCGGATTGGTAATCACACACATCAACAACATGAGCGTAGAGACCACACCACAGTTTCAAAGGGAATTGGACTGCAGCGCATGCCAGTCTCAGAATTTGCGCTCTTGCGCAAGTCTTTTCCAGCTCAGGTTTCAGCCAAGAAGGCATTTGGGCTTCTGATCCGACAGGATCAAGGGGACCGGCTGGGCGGCTTAGACTTAGACCTTCTGCAGACCGGCTTGAAGAATGTGACCGAGTCCCTCGAGAAGCTCCTGCTGGGCGGCTTTGCCCCAAGGCTGCCGGCACCATCCAGTGAGGCGGCTTACAACCTTGTCCTTGACGTGGAGATGGCAGTGAACGGCTTCCGAGAGGCTGCAGCTATTCCCAACCTTCGCAGTGCCCAATCGGGAGCAATCGCTGTTTGCGAGGCGGCAGAGACATTAGCCAAGCGGTACATGGCAGAGGGTGTTGAGGCGATTGCGGGATGGCTCGGAGCAAGGGCTGAGCAGGCAAACTGGCAGAGGGCGCTGGCAGCTGAGGCCTTTGGCGCTGCAGCAGCCGAGATACCTGGAGCTCTTTCTGAAGCCACCCTGCAGTTCGAAGCTGTGCACGGCCGGCTTCACGATGAAATTATACCGGAGCGACAGGACCTTCTGGAGGTTTGGCAAGAAATCGACTTGGCTTGGGCTTCCTTCAAGATTCAGATGGAGGGCCAGAGTGTGGCGGCAACTTATTGGTACTTAGAAGGGAGCGTGTGAATATAACGATGGTACAATCTCTGTATTTATGTATCCCCCAAAATACCCACGAAGCCCCCAGTAAGGCAATGTCTTCGGCTCTGAGTGAGTTGGATGTGGTACTGGCCTCATCGGTGCCGATGTTCGGCATGAAGGATGTGCCAAATCCACCGACAGCCCCTTGGATGTTCGCGGCAATGTACGGCGCCCTGGGTGTGACGCTAACTTTTTGCGGCTGTGCAGGCTGCTACATGTTTCATAGATCCCGCCGCCAGAAGGTGGATGACCCCTATGCAGACGGCGCCAACTACGCCTAATTAGATACTGATTTGATACATCTTGATACCCGAGCCGGTGTTGCAATCGTCAAAGGCACTTCACCACCAAGCAGAGACCCAAAGCACGGCCCAAGCATCGGTGTGTGGCCGTTTACCCTTTCAGGTCCTCTTGGCAAAAAGACTTTGCAACATTGTGGCCAGCCGCGTTACGTGTCTGAAGAGGGCCTCCACGCCCTTAAGGGGCAGGGGAACTCCGATCGACCTCTCGGTTGCAGGCATAGGAATATGGATATGCTACAGCCCGCATGCTAGTTTCAGTTCAGCATGCTCTCAGTTTGGGCATGTTTCTACTTGCGATCTCTTTGTCATTAGCTTCTGGACTGCATCCGGTATGGGTGAGTAGACTCCCGTCCTGCCTGGGTGGACAACCCGAGCTGCCTTTTGAAGTCCATATCCATTAATTCGTCTAGTGCCTTGGCAGGCAGTTGCACGCAAGGAGTGCTTTTGTTAAAGCCTTCAGCGGACCACACCGTTTGGCATATGCATGCGAGACGAACCAAGCTTGACGCTCAAAATCAAGCTGCGCGTTGGTGGCCTGGTTGAAACGGAGGCATGCCGGCGCGTCCTTGATCATGTGGTATTCCGCTGACCTGGTATTCAGTGTTGGCTCAGGATTTAGGTTTGGGGGACATAGGCTTTAGAGTACTTGGGGCTTGTGGTGCGCTGTTTGCAGCCTGAGCCTCCAGGCTGGAAGTGGGTTTTGGCTGCAGGGTCTAGGGCTTGCGGTTCAGAGTGCAGGCTTAAGGTACAGGGTTTTGGGTTGAGGTTTGTCATGTAGGGTTTGCGGCTTAGGGCGTAGGGGGTATAGGGGGTGTCTGTAGAAAACTAGGGGTGTCGGGTGTAGATTTTGCATGACTTGAGGTCTTTGGGTGCCAGGGTGCACTGTTTAGGGTTTAGGGTTGGTCTTGCTGCTACTGTAGCCTCTGGCTAATAGTGCAGTGTCACTGCAATCTAAAGTGCTGCTCATGCAAACTATGATGCATCAAGAGCCATCCTGCGCACACACCGAAGTCAAAAGAAGAGGAGCATCAGCACTCCTCCTTGTTGTGTGCTGTCAAGCGCACAATATTATGAATTATCTGGTGCTCCCTTCATTCATGACACTGGCCTCTGGCCAAGTCCACGAGAACAGAGCTTGATGCAGCATACATGCTTACCGACCCTACAGTATTCACATGTATTCACAGAGGTGCGTATCTTCCTGCTCGAGCCCTGCGAGCCCCTTGACAGCTGAGTCTATGTGATAGCACTGCCCTGACGTCACCCAAATACGGTCCGGAAAGACATTCCGAACATGGACTCGAGGAGGCGGTTGCACAGGTCTCTCAGCAGGGTATGGCCAGTCAGTTTGAGTGGTGGCTTCTCTGAGTCTTGGGGCACGCATGCGTGGCCTTGAAGTGAAGGCAGGCTCATGGGAGCTAGAGGGGCTACTTACCCAAGGCGCTGGTGGTGGCGGGACTGCAGTATAGGTGGTAGGAGGGTCCCGATTAGCACCGGCATTGCGTACATCAACCGAAACATTACGTAATCGCGGGTGAATCCTTCGGGTTGGTTGAACTAGGAGACTCTTGCTCCAGCTGTGAGGCAATTTCACTTTGGATGGCTTCTTGAAGCTTGCGCAGCTTGCGAACCTTCCTTTCACCTCTTACGATTGAAGGCTCAATCATTGAGAACCATACAAATCTAGGACATTCCCAACAGGCAATCACTGTAGCAGCACCCAACACTAAAACCAACACTACAGCATAATACCAAAGGTCTGATTGTACTCCACTACCAGACGTGTACCATCAACAGGAGGGCAAGCAGAGCCTAGCAGCCTCATCACCATTTGGATTCAACAGCATTGTTCGTGGCACAAGACCCCACTACACACAAAGTTCTGAGAGGCGAGGCATCGGTACGGCCTTTGTAAGGATGTCAGCCGTTTGAATGGCTCCTGGCCGATGTCTCAGCAGCAGCTCTTGAGCGCCCGCCCGTTCCCCTTAACCATGCTGAGCGCACTCGTAGGTGACGGGTACGACTCGAACCTCTACCGTTTTGAATGGCCAGTGCTGCTGTACTGTCGCAGTGAATACTAGGAGGATCGGTGTTAATCCGAACTCTCAAGATGCGACAACTTTTCGCACAACAGCATTAGATCCCTCGGTAACCTAGTCTCTGGCTAATAGTGCAGTGTCACTGCAATCTAAAGTGCTGCTCATGCAAGCTCTGATGCATCAAGAGCTATCCTGCGCACACACCGAAGTCAAAAAAAGAGGAGCACAATTTCAGCACTAACCCTGAACCCCTGAACCCAAAAAACCTACACTTGCCTAAACCCCAAGACCTAAATCACACATGTCCTTGCAGTGTGACTGCGACAGTGAGCTGGGCGGGTGGCAAAAAGCTTGGCTAACGTGCAAGGTCTGTTTCTTGACTTGTCGTGTTTGCCGTTTGTAGGTCACTGGTTGTTGATTGTGGACCAGTGGCTTTCGACTTCTGATCACCGGTTGCTGTTTGTTGCTCAGGCCCTGTCGCCTCACGATTTATTACTGGCGTGTTTGGTTGTTGATGTTTGGCCGTTGATGGTAGAGGAACGCAAGTGGACCACCGCTTTTCAACCGGTTGAGATGTTAGAGTTTGAGGGTTTAGGGCTTCTGGTGTATGGTTGGGGTTTAGTGCCTCAGTTTATTGGTCGCGCGCCATGGGATCTTCCACAAGTCGCAAGTCCACATCCAGCGGAGCCTCCGGACATGAGCAGTATGCTCCCATGTGGGTGGTGACTGACCGTTCGTTAGTCGGCGTTTAAAGGGCCCGAGGGATCGTAGGCGTGGCTGGTTTGGGGATTGGGATTTGGGTTACAAGGGTGGGTGGTGACGCTTATTACTTGGATGGGAGGCAACACGGTGCAGGTTCGACCCATCCCTGTACTGGTTCAGAAAGGGATTTTGTCCGAAACACAAACCAGAAAAGTAGAACAAGGAGGGCCCACGCGTAGCCAGTCAGACTGAGTCGGAAGCCGAGCTACCACGTGAACGAGAGGAGGAAATAGCACCAGAAAATGCACAAACTCCAGTACAAACAGCAGAAACAGTAGTTTCCAGCACCAGGACCAGCCTCGAAAACCCAATGAGACTGTGCCGTTGCGGCCCGCGGCATGGATCAGATAGCGCAAACAGCACAAACTATCAAACACGAGCAGAAGAAACAGGCCAGAAAAAGCAGCAAACAACAAACATGAGCAGACGAAATAGCCCTTGAGAGTGCACCGGAAAAATCGCAGCTGAGCTGCACAAAAAAACGCACACTCCAGAAGATGAGCAGATGAAGTATCACCAGGAAAAGCATTAGACAAAAGCACAAGCTCATCACTTCAGGCATCAGCAAAAAACGGGTTTCTGCCGGGTCAGGAGACACGTGGGCTTGCCGGCTTTTCATTCGTGGGCCCCAAAGCAGGATTCAGGGACTACTAATATATATATATATATATATATATATATATATATATATATGATGTATGGGAGTTTGCGAAAATAAAGGACCCTACTATGGAACCCTAAATAACAAGATCCCCAATATAAGTACCACCAAAAAGGGACCCCTAGTTGTCGGAAGCTCCGATACATCAAAGCCATGTATGATCAGACCCAGACCCAGATTATTCGCCGTGGTGCTTTTTGTTGTGCTTCTAGCTATGACAGGGGCGGGGGAAAATTAGTAAAAGGTTGGTTCTAGGGTTACCAACGCCCCTCTCCGGCCAGCTTCGTTGCACTAGCATGGGGCAATGAGGCTCGCAGTTTGGATCATGATTTGCTTGCATCTTCCTTATGTGTCAGTTCGCGGCTGACTTTGCACAGTGGCCTACTCCTCGTGTCATGCTGCACAGGGGGCAGGGACTTTCTTAGAACCATTCTCGTGACCGATTTCATGGGATGCGCGGTGCTGGGCTCTGATCACAGGCAGGCGAGGGGTTTCCTGACATATCAGTTTTGCAACTCCCTGCCGGTTGGCCAGTGTGTCCGGCGACTTGTCGGTTACCGAGGAATGCGAGTAGGAGAGGCCTCCCACCCGGGACCAGGCCGAAGTGCTCAGAAGTGGAAGAAGCTGGCCCAATCTCAAGGTGCTCAGCTCAAACAGGTGGTGAATCTGGTGCAGGCCCTCCTGGGTTGTTTCCGAGGGGCCCAAGGTATGCCAGATTTGGGGACATTGCTTCAAGGCGCCTTGCCGAACTCTGATCCCCCTGCTCCCCGAGCCAAAGCTAAGGCGAAGACAAAGGCAAAAGCAAAGGCTTCACCTGCCCCGCGACCTTCCCCTAAGCCCGATCCTTTGCCAGTGTCACAGCAGCCACCTTTGGTTGCGAAGCCCCCTGATCCCCCTAAGGCCCCTAAGCCCCGACGTGATAGCACTAGGCAGGCTGTACCGTCGGGCCAGGCCGCTCGGGTCGCCACATCGGCCCCTCCCAGGCATACACTGCGTCCTGCTGATTGGCTCGGCGAGGTCATGCAGTACGAGACCTTGGAACAGGACATGCCCCGACGAGGCACGGGGCCCATCGTGGTTTTGGCAGGCGATGCTCAGGAGGCCGATGTTGCGGTCCAGTTGATCGCCGCCCACGGCCGGCACGCGGCCTTGGTGCTGTATAGGGACCGTCGTGCTAAGTGGGTTGTGCCTATGATGTTAGGGGACAAGTTGGTGCCACAACATGTTGAGTGCCAAAATGTCCGACGCGAGGGGCTTGACCTGCCCACACTGAAGTCGGCTCCTCGGTCCAGGCCGGCGCCGGCGAATGCGACCTGCCCCATGCGGGTTATCTTGAGCGAGTCGTTAGCGGCTTCGGATCTCTGGAAGCTTGCGACAACACAGCCGCGCAGGTTCTTGCAAGAATGGACCCGCCAGGTCTTGCCAGGCCAGCTGCGGGGAGTCGTCAAGGACTCCTGGGGTTTCGCTGAAGGGTTGCGCTCCGGGGCTAAGGTGATCACGGGACTCATTCGGATTGA